AGAAATAACAAGTGTAATATCCACTAAAGCAAAGCTTAAGTATATAACACCAACACTAACTTCAGCCGTGAATATGATCATCTTCGGACCACGTTTCTTGCTCTTAACCATATGCAATAAGGACTCCTCCTGTGGTTCTTCCTCTTTGCAATTATCCCCAATTTCTAGCAAAAATACTTCCTTACCCTTGCACTTGTGGCCTGGTGTGAATTTTTCATTGCACGAATAGCAAAGGCCTTTTTCTCATCGCCGCTGCATCTCTTCATCAGTCAAACGCCGTATGTTGCTCGTTGTTCGAACAGCTTCGCCCAACAGCCTGTTCTCGGCTTTCGCCGCTGGTTCCTCAGTCGCGGCGTGCGTGCGTTTGGTCTCTATGCGCACGTCGCTCAGCCTGGCCTTGCGTACTGCCATCAGATGATCCTCATGTAGTCTTGCCGACTCCATGGCTGCGCGCATCGATCCTGGCCTATCCAACCTTACTTCTGCTGCTAACTCAGCCTTAAGTCCTCCAACAAACGTTCCTACTAGCGCACTCTCGGGCCAATCCCGTACCCTACCAGCAATGCGCTCGAACTCCTTTTGATACTCCCTTAGGCTCCCCACTTGCTTAATTCTAGACAAAGCCTCATTGTAATCGTGGTAGTCATTCGAGCCAAACCTTGTAATGAGCTCTTTTTCAAAATCCCTCCAACGCATGTGCTCACCACGGTTCTTGTGCAACACCAATTGCAACCATACGTTTGCTTCCCCATCAAGATGATAAGCAGCAATTTGAACTCTCTCATACCTTGGCACGCCATTGATCTCAAAGAATTGCACAACTCGACTCAACCATGCATCCAGATATGTCCCCGTGAACGTGGACATAATAATTTTTGGTCGTGTACCTGCCCTTTCGTCCAATTGTTCATCGCGATCGTGGCATCGGACGCGTGCCTCGTGTCGCCGTTCGTCGCGTCGTCGGCCATCGCGGTGTGGCCTCCGCTCGTCGTGTGTCGCATGCGATGCGTACGTTGCGTGCGATCGCCAGTCGTCGTCTTCCTCGCGCCTTCGGTCATGATGTGCGCGTCCGTCATGTCGTCGCCGATCGTCGTGGTGGTGGTCCGCACGCGATGCGTGTGTGCCCCTCGATCGGTGATCGTCCTCGTGCTCGGTCCCGGTACTTGTCGCCGTAGACCGCGACCCGTGACGTCTCCTTGGCCGTGTGTTCATGCGCGTAAGCTGCCCGGCCAAGTCCTGGACCATCAGCTCAATTCTTCCCAAGTTCTCGTTGGTATCATGTTGACCATCGCCAAT